CATATTCTCTCTCTCTCTCTCTCTCTCTCTCTCTCTCTCTCCCCTCCCTCTCTCCCCTCCCCTCCCCTCCCCTCTTCCCCCTCTCATTTTCCTATCTGATTTAATACTGCACGTATATAGTTATGGTTTAAATGAATAGTTGAATTTTTTTTTTTACTGTTACGAATAAATCTTAATTTTACGTGCCGATTCGATTGTTTGAAAAGTGTCGGTGAATATCGATTATGAAAAATGTTGAATATTTTTAATATACAATACAATAGTTAGATAATACGCTTATTTAATTCTCTATGTCGTTGCGTCTTTTCATTTATATCTATATTTATGTTTAATTATTTATTTCCTAATATAGACATATATATATTACATTGTTACATTTTAACAATGTATTTTCGCATTCGAAACTAATGTATTCAAAATATATTTCGAAGTCTTTTTATTTATATTTTTTTTTTCATAAATATTTCTCATAATTAATACTTATTTTATAAAAATATATTTCGATATAATGAAAATTCAAAACAAACATTATAACTATGATTGATTCGTATTTTTTCGTATTAATAATTTTTTTTCTATTAAATTAATTATAATTAATTATTATTATCTTTTCTAGAGCGAACTTATTAGAGTTATATTATTATAATTTTATATTTAACGAAAATGAACAAAAAGATGACAAATAATTAATTTTTTATAATTGCGTTAATTGGTAATTTTTAATTTTAAACATTTTCGGCTTTACCTGTTAGAGTTCATTCATTATATAAAGATAATATTTGAAAGATATTTTTTTACATATTAATACAGTTATAGAAGTTTGTATAAAATTTTTTAAACTAAATTATCTAAAATCAACATTAGAATAAAATATTGCGTATAATATTCTTAATTATAAATTTAGGCAAAGAATTTAAAAAAAATTTTAAAATTAAAAAATATTTTATATTATTATATATATTTATATTATATATATAATATAAATAATATAATATAAATAATAATTAATATTATATAAATAATATAAAAATTTTATATATAGAAAATAGAATATTTTTCAATTTTAAATATGCGATTATAATTATGCGAAATATATTTTATATTTATTTTATATTTCTATCTATCATAAAGCTTAGACATTAATTAAACACTTATAGTCTGAAATAAATAAAAGTAATAATAAATTAAATAATAAATTCGTTGTCATAACGAAATATTATTGAAATACGAAATAATTTACAAGCACACATAATTAACAAAACACCATATCATAAAAATTATTAGAATCAAAGATGGATCAACTATAAAATAGATAAAATATCAATATCAATTGGTTCGAGTAATTTTTATAATCTTTTTTTTACAAATATTATCCAATTCACTTAATAATTTTATACATTAATATTCGTATTTTACATTTACATTTTACATTGCTTTTACATTTTTGTAAACACATATTTTTATCATTCAACATTTTAATAGCGAGTATAATTTCATGTATACATACGTGCATGTGCTTGTACGCTAGGATATTATTCTCGCTTATTTTATCTCTTTAAATTAGTCCCCTCTCTTCTCTTAATTTTCACTTCACTTCTTTAAAACAGTCCACGTTTCTGTGTGGAAATTATAACTAAGCGAGCTGCAAGAATTTATTTAATTCTTTGGAGAATAGGTTCGATTCGATAGTTTCAAATGATCGATTATTGCGCCCGTCGAAGCGAAATGTAACGGCGGACATTGAAAACAACGTTGCAGATACTCTTGCGTCTACTCAAACCTATGCCGATAAAAGCGATAACAACGATCGCATCAATTGAATTCAATGTTATCCGTTATCGGGTCGTGTTTTATGATCCAAGTTATGGAATAGAACAGTAGGGAATGTACTTTGCGACAAGCGACGACTTTTGAAATCTAATATAGATCGTTATCTCTGTACACGAGTTTTTGGTAGACCGTGAGTACTGGAACACGTTACGTATATAGCACGCGGTATATAGACATCCTAACTTCCAAACACCTTTACTCTGTTCGCTGTGTGAAAGGCAGGCGTAATATTATGACGACGTTATGCGTAGTGCATGATCTATGTTAGTATTAGCATTTATCTCTACATATAACACGAATGTTTGATTTTACTATTTGCGGTTCAAGTCGTGTTTGATGTTTTGTTTAAGCGAATTGATCGTTTGGTTACTTTCGAAACGAAGCTTTATCATGTTCACGCGTCATATACAGATCTTAGAAATATAATAGTATAAATTTCCTTATAATGTTTTAAATTATTTCATAACTCGATTCATTTATCTTTTGCTTTAAATGTATTAGAAATTGTTTAGAAACTTATGAACTATAATGTATTATTATATTACAATTTAAAAATTGAAGATTACATTATTTTATACTTATAAATAAAATTATTAGTTAAAATTATTTTGCTTTTTTAAACTATATTTATATTTATTATTATTTATAATAATATTTTAATAATTATTCGTGTTTTTATTTTTAAAATTTGGTAAATTTTACATATATACATATATAAAATTTTATTCTAATTATTAAAAAAATAAATTTTTTGATAGTACAATAATTTAAATTTCAGTATGATTAAATTAAATCAAATACTTATATATTGAGAAATAATTTTTTTAGAAAAAAAAAGTATATTATGATTTTGATATCTTATAATTTTTTATTCTATTATTTGTAATTTCTAATTTAAAAATTTTACGATAGTTTTATGAAATATAATATATTTATATATTTATATGGAAAATTTTCGCGTTACGAAATTTTCAGGATATATGTTATATGTTTTACGCTAGGATCAATAAGAAACAAGATGAAATAGGATCACAAAGTGCGACGCATTTAACCCTCGTGATCCTCGTAGCTAGGTCACTTTTGACCCAGTCGACTTAACAGTCGACAATAGAACTAATTAAATGATAAAAATTAAATAAGTTTAGATCTATTGATACGGCTCACTTTTAACCCAATAACTGTACATCGTAGCCCGTAATCCGAGGAGTAAATATGATATTTTTATTTTGTTTAATGCACTTCTTTTAACAAACGTGCATTTAGAAAAATATAAAAATTTAATAATAATAAAAATTTTAATGTGACGAGTTCTTCTGTTTCATAATTGAAGAATATAGAATACATTAAACAACATTGCGCAAGATAATACACATATATAAGTATATTGTATATTCACAGTTTTTAGTTCTAAACTGTGCGAATGGAAAATAATTGCGATATAAAATTTTTCTTTTTATAACATTATTTTATTTATTCAATTAATTTATGTTAAATATAATTTTTGATATAATGATATATAAGATGTGTTTACATTTCATATATTTCTTATTTACGTATATATTTATTTTTTATGCTTCATTTACAATTGTTATTATTATTATTTATAACATTATATTATACAATGAAATATTCTTCAATTGTTAAGATCGTTATTATATAATTCAATATGTTTGTTTTTTAATTTTATTATTCCATTATAACGAATATTTAAATCTGTTAAAAATTTTTCTTTTACTAATTATATTATATTTCATTGTAATATCTAAATATTTCATCAGCATGAAATATCACGATTATGGTACAAAACTGTACCATAAAAGAATAATTAATTTTACTAATACAAGTTAAATATCATTGATGATATTCCCTAGCATGTAATTCACACTTTTAGAAAATTAAATTAACTTAGCCGTTTTAATTAAATTTAAGAATTTTCCTTTTTTTTTTTTTTATTATATATTTATATTTTTTTTATATAAATGTGCTGTATTGTTTTAAATAATAGAAGATAATTTTAAACATTCTCAAACTAAAGTAGATATCTTTCTTCTTATAGATCAAACAAATGTGGCAAAGAAAGTTACGTTAACCGTTGTAAATGTACGTAACTCAAAGCGTAATTAATTTGATCGAAAAAAAAATATATATATATATATATTTAACGAATTAGTTTGAATTGAAATGGATGGATCCCTAGACTGTTTTTGCATGATTGGATACTCGTAAGATATTCTTTTCGTGCTTCTCAGCCTGATTCTTTGATCGTTTTCACCTCGCTACAATAAATTAGATATTACGTGTATATCAAGTTCATAATTCATCGTTCATTCATCGATTTTTAGGGGGATACGAGTGAAAAATGTCATTTGAAGAAAATTTGTATGCAAAAAAGGAATAGAATGATGTTCGTTGTTAGTTGATGTTCGATCTCAAACTTTGTGTTTATTTTTAATGTTAATGGAAACGAGAGAAGGAAAAGAAGGAAACTAGGAGGAAATAATATGTGAAATTTGTTTCTGTTGTTTCAGTTTTTCCTAACGTGCCACCTGCGCCAGGAATGCCCTGTCAGGGAGAAGACAGTGAGTTTTCATCATCAAAACAAAACATTACATTATTTATATACAATTTTCACGATTCAACGATTTTCAACATTATAGAAATAACTAGCCAGCGAGTTGTTCAATTAATAATAAAGATTTAAGATTTTGCTCACGAAGAAGAGGTGCGAGTAGCCTGGCTATAAATCGTTATAATTTCTCATCGTTGAGAAAAAAGAAAAAGGGAAAATTAACTTAAATGGGCATCGTTCTCTCTCTCTCTCT